TTCCATAATGTGAATTGTCCCAAAGGTTTCCTCTACTTTAATAAACAGGTAATGCAAATGGACAAATGTGATTTTTAATATGGTAATACAACTCATTGTTGCCAATTTTTTAGCCTCACCCAGGTGTCAACAATATTGATGTATTGTTGATATTTTTCTGTTGATCAATAATCAATATACGTTTCAAAAAATAGATAATTTCAACTTATTAAATAAATGTCTAGAAATTAGGAAAATTCACCCAAAATATATACAGAAGCAGGTGCCAATGTCTAACATTATCTGTTGTTACATAGTGGAAATTTTTTCACAGCAATGATGACAACAAAAAAATGGTCTGGGTAAAAATTATGCAATCAGCTTTTATAAATACGACACTGAACAGAACATATTTTCAACTGAAACCGTGATAAATGTGAAAACAGGTATAAAAGTGAATGACAGACAAGTAATTTTAGGGAATTATTAATATATTGTCGATGATATTTGTTGTTGATATTTGTCCTCTGTTATTGATGTATCGTTGATATGCCTTGCCTTCAATAAATGACAGCTCTACATCAGCGTCACACTTACTCTAAGCATTTGTGTGGAGTTGGTATCTCGAAAACTACAGTACTAAAGGGAATGGGTTTGAATTACTTGTCATTGTGAATGTATAACATATCAAAAAGAATATAAATCTTGATTTCATGTAGGTTATGATTAATATTGTCTATTTATTTTATAATTCAAGTCATTTTGTTCTGTTTTCAGGGAGAACTGCGAATTTCAGTATTACCAACTCATTTAACATATGATGCTCCATGGCCTATACGTAAAGTTCCATTAAGATGTACACCTCATTTTATCATTTATCATACAGACAGCAAGGTAGGCAAACACAGGTGTCATTTCTTTTTAGCTCACCTTGCACAAAGTGCAGGTGAGCTTTTAGGATGGCCAACCAAATGGCGTCCGTCGTCAGTCGTCCGTCCACATTTTAAATATTCTAAGGACATCTTCTATGATACCGCAAGGCCAATGTTAATGAAACTTGGCAGGAATACTCTTTGTATGAAGCTCTATCAAGATTGTTCAAAGAATTCCATTTCATGCAGAACTCTAGTTGCCATGGCAACCGAAAGAAAAATCTTTAAATATCTTCTTTTAAAGAACCGTAAGAGCTAGAGCTTAGATATTTGGCATGAAACATCTTCTAATGAGTGTCTACCAAGTTTGTTCAAATAAAAGCCCTAGGGTCAAAATTGGCCCCGCCCCGGGGGGTCATTGATTTTCCCTCTATGCATATAGTAAAAACTTAAAAAATCTTCTTTTAAAAAACCCAAAGAGCTAGAGCTAAGATATTTGGCATGAAACATCTTCTAGTGAGTGTCTACCAAGTTTGTTCAAATAAAAGCCCTGGGGTCAAAATTGGCCCCGGCCCGGGGGGTCATTGATTTTCCCTCTATGCATATAGTAAAAACTTAAAAAATCTTCTTTTAAAGAACTGTAAAAGCTAGAGCTTAGATATTTGGCATGAAACATCTTCTAGTGAATGTCTACCAAGTTTGTTCAAATAAAAGCCCTGGGGTCAAAATTGGCCCCGCCCCAGGGGGTCATTGATTTTCCCTATATGCATATAGTAAAAACTTAAAAAATCTTCTTTTAAAGAACCCAAAGAGCTAGAGCTAAGATATTTAGCATGAAACATCTTCTAATGGGTGTCTACCAAGTTTGTTCAAATAAAAGCCCTGAGGTCAAAATTGGCCCTGCCCCAGGGGGTCATAGATTTTCCCTATATGCATATAGTAAAAACTTAAAAAATCTTCTTTTAAAGAACCGTAAGAGCTAGAGCTAAGATATTTGACATGAAATATCTTCTAGTGAGTGTCTACCAAGTTTGTTCAAATAAAAGCCCTGGGGTCAAAATTGGCCCCGCCCCGGGGGGTCATTGATTTTCCCTATATGCATATAGTAAAAACTTAAAAAATCTTCTTTTAAAGAACCGTAAGAGCTAGAGCTTAGATATTTGGCATGAAACATCTTCTAGTGAATGTCTACCAAGTTTGTTCAAATAAAAGCCCTGGGGTCAAAATTGGCCCCGTCCCAGGGGGTCATAGATTTTCCCTTTATGCATATAGTAAAAACTTAAAAAATCTTCTTTTAAAGAACCCAAAGAGCTAGAGCTAAGATATTTAGCATGAAACATCTTCTAATGAGTGTCTACCAAGTTTGTTCAAATAAAAGCCCTGGGGTCAAAATTGGCCCCGCCCCGGGGGGTCATTGATTTTCCCTATATGCATATAGTAAAAACTTAAAAAATCTTCTTTTAAAGAACTCAAAGAGCTAGAGCTAAGATATTTAGCATGAAACATGTTCTAATGGGTGTCTACCAAGTATGTTCAAATAAAAGCCCTTGGGTCAAAACTGGCCCGCCCCGGGGGTCATTGATTTTCCTTATATGTGTATAGCAAAAACTTAAAAATCTTCTTTGAAAAAACCCAAATAGCTTGTGTTTAGATATTATACATGAAACATCTTTAAGTAAATATCTACAAAGTTTGTTCAAATAAAAGCCCTGGGGTCAAAACTGGCCCTGCCCCAGGGGTGTCATTGTTTTTAACTATATGTGTATAGTAAAAACTTAAAAAATCTTCTTTTAGAAAACCCAATGAGCTAGAACTTAGATGTTTAGCATAAAACATCTTCTTATGGGTGTCTACCAAGTCTGTTCAAATAAACAAATAAAAGCCCTTGGGTAAAAATTGGCCGGGGGGGGGGGGGGCTATATACAGGTGAGCGACCTCAGGGCCATCATGGCCCTCTTGTCTTTTGTTTGTAGCTGTGAACTTAATATCTGAAATGGATGTACATCATATCTAAGCATTATGACACAATAGAAGTCCTGTCAGTTACAGAAGTAATAACCACTTTTTTACAGCTGCCACAAGGCACTTTCACAAGGCGTGATCCCTCAGATTCTAAGTCATCCAGTCATACACTTCTGTTGTTGAGGCTGTCACAGCCTGGTTGTATTTTCTGATCGCAAGATCAGTAAATACATAGCTAACATCCACGGTCTAACACAAAATTTCCTAACAGACCTAACAACGCAAAGTAGTTCTCACTCAAAACTGCTTAAAAACCAGCAATTTAAAAGACAGAATAATTTTTAATGTAGGCATTTAACGAATTACAGTGCATTAAAAGTTCAGATTAGTCAATAGAAATATGAGGTTACAATCACAAATTTCGCGGATGAATATCATTTTAATCAATGAAAATGCTATTTTTAGCTATGTCGATTACTGAATACTCCATGGCGTAGTACACAAATAAATCTGACTGCCGAGTAGTGGAATATATACGTGTCGGACTGTTTTGGCGAGAAGATTTTCGCTAAATTATTTTTATCAGTGTTAAACAGGTTTATCGTGAACAAAATACCTCGAAATTGATAAGGATTACAAACACGAAATGGAAATTCTCAATTTAGAATTACAATGTATTTGTTTTTATTCAGGCTACATATTACATATTACTTCACCGTGGTGCAGGGGTATCGCGCTCGTATCGCGCTCGTTTAGGGTGTGAGAGGCCTAAGGTTCAAAACCTAGTCGATGCAACTTTTTTTTTGAAGTGTCTTTTTTAAGGAAGTAGCCACGATATGCAAGGATAAAGTGTGGCTGTCTTTGATGCAACTCTAGTCATGCAAAATTCCATATGTATCAATCTCAAACTGTTATAGAAAAAAAATCTTAACGCAGTCGCTGCGTAAGATGAATTATAGTATATAAAAATAAACTTATATAGGAAAATACATACAGATAGTCAGTATGATTTAGATTCCAAAGATCAGAAAATACCATAGAGCTTGCAGCCCTTTGATTTTAATCAATGGGATGTAACCAAGGTGCATCAGACAATCTGCTGAATTTTCAGGCCTGCTATTTGTTGACTTAATTCTGACTTTAAGAAAATGATGGCTTATTTTCAAGACAGTCTTTTATTTTATTTTCGAGACAGGCTTATTTTCAAGACAGGCTTATTATTGAATTTTTGAAAGAGTATGTAATAGGCGTTGATTTTTTTTTTGTACACAACATATGAACAAATTAAATATATTTTTCAGGTAAGAAGCATTTGTTTTTTTATTGTGCCCCCACTTTAGTGGCGGGCATTTAGATTTACCCTTGTCCGTCTGTCCTTCCGTCCGTTCTCTTTTGTGTCGCACGTAACTCAAAAAATATTTGACCTAGAGTCATGAAACTTTACAGGAATGTTGATCAGCATGTGAAGTTGTGCACCTGGGTATTTTCGTCTGGATATATTTAGTATTTTTAGAGTTATTGCCCTTGACTTAGTAAAATTTTGCAATTTTCAACTTGTGTCGCATGTTACTCAAAAAGTATTTGACCTAGAGTCATGAAACTTTACAGGAATGTTGATCAGCATGTGTGGTTGTGCACCTGGGTATTTTCGTCTTGATATTTTTAGTATTTTTAGAGTTATTGCCCTTGACTTAGTAAAATTTTGAAATTTTCAACTTGTGTCGCATGTAACTCAAAAAGTATTTGACCTAGAGTCATGAACCTTTCAGGAATATTGGTCAGCATGTGTAGTTGTGCACCTGGGTATTTTTATCTGGATTTATTTAGTGTTTTTAGAGTAATTGCCCTTGACTTAGAAAATTTTGCAATTTTCACTTTGTGTCACATGTAACTCATAAAAGGATTTGACATAGAGTCATTAAACCTTATGGGAAGGTTGCTCAGCATATTGAGTTTTGCACCTGGGGTTTCGCTTGTGGATTTGTCCAGTATTTGTAGAGTTATTTCCCTTGACTTAGTAAAAACCATTTCATTATGTTGTTATTTGTTCCTTGAGTGCTTGAGTTAGAATCAACCAACTTTACAGAAATAATGATCAACATCACTATATTACAGGAATAATGATTCACATCACTGTGAAGCTATGCACCTGGGACTTTGCATGTGGATTTTTTTCAGTTTTGTTAGAGTTATTGCCCTTGACTTACAGTAGTATAAATTTGCAATTTTCAACTTGTTCATGCATAGCTCAAAATGTATTTCACTTGTAGGCCTGAAAGTTTACAAGAATGTTGGTCAGCATGTGTTCTTATGCACCTTGGGGTTTGCTTGTGGATTTATTCAGTATTTGTAAAGTTCTTGCCCTTTACTTAGTAAAAGATTTTTAGTTTTCAAAAAATATTTGACCTAGAGTCATAAGATTGACAGAACAGTGGCGCGGTGGGGGCACTCGTGTCCTATGGACACAATTCTAGTTAAACACAAAACAAGTCTTATTTTTATCATAACAATTTGTAGAAATTATGGGGTTGACAATGAATGAATTTTTAAAAACCACATGATGTAATAGCTTGAAATGAGAAAATGATTTCATTGTTTTGGGGTCTTTCAAATAGATCTGTTTGAAAGACCCTGATTAATTATACTTGAAGGGTATTATATAGTTATAAAAAGCCATATTTACAATAGAAAAATAAGATTTACTTGTGTGCTGTTACATTTGTTTTACTATTGTTGCTTTAACACTTCGAAGATAGCTTTCACATTGACCTTGTAACCAGTGTAGAGAAATGTCAGTCTGCAATGTTCTATTGCCTATAGAAATTATTACCTTGGTGGTTTCAGCATTATCTTTATCTGATCATTGAAATGTCATTTTTATTTCAGACTTATGCTGTGGTCATGCATACACCAGATATTGGTAATAAATTGCCCAAAGTTACATCAGAAGAAAGAGAATTTGATGTCTTTGAAAAAGGTATAGAATAATATTAATGAAAATACCTTTCAAAAAGTGCTGAAAAAGCAATTCCACACACCTTAGATTTAACGTAACTGTTGATTGATATTCTATTACAAATAACTAAATTATGGCATCAACTTTTGTATTTAAGCTTTAATTTAATTTATTTAATTTAATTGCCATTTATTTACAGAAATGCAATATATTTCTAATTCAATACATGTATACATAAGGATGAGTCAGGTAAACTTGAAATGAAAACATTATTATGATGTTTAGGATAGATTATAGTAATTTGTTATTATCATTGTAATATGATTAACCTTTTACCACATGAGCATATTGTGAAAAAATGGCCGTTTTCATTGAAAAGCCTCCTGACAGATTTGTGTTGTCAATTTCAGATGAGAGATTTGTATATCCGACAGCACAGAAGTTTTCCTGTCAACTTTACAGTCCAACATCGTGGGAAGTTGTGCCAAATACACAGTAAGTCTATTCAAATTAATCAAAGTCCTAGTGCCCTATTTTACATTTAGAGTACATACCCACATACCATAAAATTGTAACCAGGTGTTCTGTTTGCTATAGGTAGAAAGGTGTTTATTAATTGATTAAAATGAAACAAATTACCTGAAGTGAAAAAAGTGATGATACAGAAATT